AATTCCATGAAGCCAATGCGTATTTTCTGCTCCGTGAAATTAGTTATACCCAGCAATGGACGAAAGAAAGTAGCGTGAAAATGTTCCTCTATCATCGTGAGTGGTACACGAACGCTAGGATCAATTCTCCGCGCCCATTTTAATAGATTGATAAGATATTCCAATGAGTTACACGTGATTCAAGGGCTGTCGGCCGATGAAATAAAGAGAACCGATGAATAATTACTGCAATGAAAATTATTGGACGTGAGTTTCAACAGGTAACTCGACATTAATTGAATTATTGAGGATCGCATTGATTCAATCATCTGTCGTAAACACAGGGCTGAATGGTATCGCGATAATCGCGGGGTTTAATCCCTGTGGAAAAGTTGAGTGGAAGATTGTCAGGAGAGTGAGGAAATGGGGTATTTATCTCACCAACTGTCCGCCCTCGGTCAGTCAGACATGATTCGATCCACTTCTTCAATTAAAATTCATTTTCTGGTACACTATTACCAAATTGCCCTCTAAATCATTCGTGAAACGCGAAATTTCGAGCTACCACTGAGTGATGTGAAATTTCTATAAAAGGTGATGAGTAAAAAATAATTTCTTCAGCAATACCAATAAATGGCAATGGCCAGTAATTTTCAAGAATGAAGATTTCATTCATTTGTCGCATCACTCGATTTTCCGTGTGCATTCAAACAATTTTCACTTGATGTATCGAGAGAAATAACCAATTGCTGTGATTTCATTATATTATTCTCCTTTCCAGCATCCTAATTCCCTCTCCAAAGCCGCATGGATCTAATTCCCTTCTCGGTTTTCCCATGAAAAGATAGCCCAAGCACTCGGGAATACTCTTTTATATGCAAAGCGACAATTTCTCACTCTGAACGACTGAGAGACAGTATCTGGATTGCCTTCTCAAGGCGACTCTCCTCAGCACATGGGTCTCTGCCAATCTCTTTCACCTCACCATATTTTTTTATCCTCGAAACTCACTCATCGTCAATTCCCCATACGCATTCCCTGTAAATACAGGTCATCCACTGCTTCTTCAATCATTGCATCAATTTTAATACTCTGATTTTTTATATTCACCTCCTACCACTCGTGCAAAAATTCTCTTGCCAAATATATTTGAGAAAATAATTTTTTTCTCAGTGTGTGCTAATGATAAATGTATGTAAAGAAAGAATAATGATACTTTTAAGGAAAAAATCACTTGTTGCTAGGAACTCGTGGATCTAGAACCTAAAGACCAGAAATCCTTGAAGCCAGTGACTTTTTCACTGACTTCAAGGATTTTTTCCTTAAAATAAGAGAGAGGGAAGTTCTAGATGCTAGTGATTTCCACACTAAATTCAAGGAAATGTCACTTATTTCCAGGTAAATCGAAAAAGTCTGAAATTTACCATCCTGACGGTTACTAGTCGACAGGCCATTAAATTTTCTTTTTATTTCTAAATCCACATCAGGGTACAGTCCCTTGGGGATTTTACTACAAATTTTTCTCGTACCGCTGAATTTGCAATAAAAGTCAGAATTTTATTACAAATTTCAGTACAAATTTTCCCATTTTATTATTCCAATTTTTCCTGAACGCCGGGATTTTACAACAAATTTTCACCCGTGCAAATGAATTTTGTTGTAAATGTCGGGATTTTACTACAAATTTTTCATTATTTTTAGGGGAATTTTTCCGGTGCTCTGACCTTCACCGACACTTCACCAAATACTATGGGAATTTTTACCGTGATTTCACTGAAAATACTCGGGTATTTATTTCGTCTGTGTACGCATCATAAAACGCACACGACTGAGAGCACCATTGGTTTACGGTCATGGTAACCTCGTGGTACGGTACTTATGCTAATTTACACCCGGTGGTCTCTACAAGTTTCAAGGGAATCAGGTGAATAATAAAGTCAAAACCGTGTCGCAGTGCAGACTAGTTAACAGGTGGCTATTAATGCATGGTTGACGTTTTTGTGGAGTCATTCCGCGGATGAATAACGATGACGGTATATACGTAATTTAATTAGGCTTTCCCCCACTTACTAGTAAAAATAAACAGAAAATAAATTCACTGAAACAGAGCAATCTAGGTGCTGAAATAATAATTATCAACTTGAAGTTAATGACTTTTTTTTTGCACCTCCATTCATCCATCACTCGGTTCAATCGCATACATTCAATTTTCCGACTGATGTCATGATTAAATTGGATGATGAATGAAAATTCCAAGAGAATTAATGAATTTCAGGCGATAAATGTGACAAAATAAACAAACCTGTCGCAATAAATAACTCGCGGGTTCGGAGAATTAAAAAACATTACGTTTACGTTTTTGTGACAATAAATTCAATCATTACATTGTTATGTGAAATAATATTTACCATTTTATTATATTGCCATATTTATGACTCCCGAAAGAATATTCTCTGCCATTTAATTATTTTTTATTATTATTTATATTTTTTTATCTGGTGGTCGAGGAAAGATGAACCACTTTTTACTGGCCATGAATAACGAATTCACCCAAACTCGAGAGTAATTACCAATAAAGTAGAATGGAGTAATTACCAGTGATTCGTATGCACGTCAGTGGCTCGTGAATTAATCTCCGCGGAATTTTTTTTTTTTCGAGTAAAAAAAAGCATATGCAAATTTGCCTTCGTCAGCACTCGGTTAAAAAATGCACGCTCTTCCCAAATTTGGTGTCACGGAACACAAACTCGATGGAGTATTCTGAACATTGTACGCCGCAACATGCTGTACGTAGTTTTTAAAACGAAGAGAAATGGGTTGAACGTAAATCGTGAAATTTAACGTCTTGGCCCCGGGGGCCCGTGACCAATTCACCGATGGTGTAATACCAGAGAAATTACTTTGGTGTACCGAGTCCCTTCGTTCTCCCCTTGGACGAATTATGGTGCAACGAGTGTTCAATCGACATGACGACGAATAGAACGCGCAATTAGAAAATTACTCTTGAAACTTTGTGTTGATAAATTTGACATGTGGAATTTATCAGAATTTTTTTAATAACAATCAGGGAATTTCATTGGCTATGGAGTAAGAAAACGATTTGTAATTATTGGTAATCGATTGTTTGTTTTCATGCGGATCCAACCGCTTGTTTACTCAAGCAATAACGATTGAGAAATTGATCGATTTGTTTGGGAATATCGAATTTTTATTTGATATTAGGGAATTTCACGCGAATATTCAACACAAGGTTTAAGGAATCACAATCGAATGTTTGTGAGAAATCAATGAAAAATATGTGGTATTTCAGTTCATGTTTTCAAATCAATTACACCATTTCAGCAGAACGAATGGTTAATTTTCATAATACAAATGTTATTAAAAATTATTTACTCATTTAACACACACATAAAATTCGATGAAGGAAAAAAATTGATTTTTTTTTTAAATCGATAATTTCCATGAATTAATTATTTCCAATGAATTTCATTTCGTGCGAGGATTTTTTTTCTCGATACCAACCCGACACTTGCCAAAAAATAAAACATCGTTTTGTATACCCAGAGTATATACAGAGGAACAGTTGAAATGGTCGATAGCGATTATTCCGATACATCTCCCCTATCCCTGGACCCTCACCCCTCGACTCTCATCTCCCCTTTGATAGCGAACCCCAGGATATTCCACCCACACCGAGGATAAACCATTTGGCATACGAGTCATCTCTCTCTGACTACTTCCCCCCTGAAAACAGCTGTCAGATTCTTCTCCCCTGTATCTCATAAGATTCATCTCTCTTTCACCCATCTCTCTCTCGTTCGCTTTTATTTCTTCGATGCATCAATACTGCTCTCTTTTCTCTACCGAGTTGTATTGGTTTCACTGTCGATTCTTTTACCAAACGTAGAGTCATCGACATTCCCTGTTATGCGCCATATTATGACAGCTGCACTCTTTATTCCAACCTTCCATTCAATCGCACGAGTTCAAGTATTTTTCTGTTTACCCATAAATGTTGTTACTTTTGGTGGGAATCAATCTCGAGGGTGCAGCCAATTTATTGATCGGATTAGTGGTTTATTGGATAACTTGTTGTGTTGGGTTCAGAATAAAATGTTTCATACTTGAATGGATAGAGTAATGATATTTAAAAAAAAAATCGCATCTCTTTGGCAATTGAATTATCCCAACTTATTTGTTTCCTCGAGAAACATTTAATTAAGGCCCAGAGTTTCACCATTTGTCGTTGAAAACTCGAAAACGGGACTGAAGCGTGAAATGATTACAAAATCTAATTAAATTTCCCATCAATTCCTGGCCGTTTTGAATGTTCCCCCTTAATTTCCTATTCTCTGAATTCTCGTTACATAATTATGATGTTCAGTTATTTACCTAGTCAGAATGATTTCCATCCGGAAACATAATCATAAATATGACGATTATATTTAATAATATTACAAAGACTGAATATTTCTCAACTCTCAATAATTATTATTTCGTTTTGAAACTTTCAGTTATTGTTATTATCAATATCCCCCAAAAATCCATGGATCTATCTTTTTTATTTTCAAATAAAAAACCGCGAAACGTCCTATAAAAAAACATAACTAAATAAAACCATAAATTCCCAAGTTAAAAATTCATATTCCATAAAGACAATTATTTACTTACATTTACATACCGCCAACTATCCTCAAGCTATGAAATATTTTTGGCGGGAATACATCTGCCCAGTGATGGATGGATATCACCATGTATAGTATATACCGATATAGTTGAAAAATATTGAGAATAATCGATGAATGTGATGAAAATGCAGGAGCTGTGGAGGATGGTGGTACAAGTGTGTGTCAGTGCCCCAGAGTGTGGCACCCCAGGTTGTGCCGGCAAAGCGCATTGCCCCACCATTGAAAAAGCCCCCAACACTGAGCCATCACTACTACGAAGGCGAAACCAGAGGCAAGTTGGTTGGGTAGTGGCTGAGGAACTCACAGCCCCCACAGCAAACGCGAAAGAGCAAAACCGGGCACCAGCACTCAAGCCAGTTTTCCCAGTTCAGCTTTAGCCGGCACTCAGCCAAGACTCACAGCTGCACACAAGCCTCAGTTCGTTCCCGACAACCGAGGCCTTCACATCGCGCGCGCCGCTCCGTAACTACTACCCAAAATCCCTCAGTTTAATCAACAAACCGTCCATAACGATTCAAATATTCTCCACTCACGATAATAACAAGTGAACAAAGACAAAGTCGCGTGTGATGTGGGGTATATACGCTTTTATTTGAGTAAATACACCCGGGTGAATCGTCAAGTTGAGATGATGTTTTCGGTGCATCTTGGGAGAATTTCGTGAACTCGTTTGGTGGGTTACCCTCGGGAGAGGACCCCTGTCGGGAGGTTACGGAGGAAAGGTATTTGAAAAACGAAAAAAATAAATAAAGAGAGATACGTCTTCAAGGACTGAAGAGGGACTGCAAATTCTCTCGCTCTCAACTTCTTTGTTCTTATCGAGAGGGGTGGGGAGGGGAAAAAACTTGAAGGGACAGACTTTCGAGGTTTTCGCCTTTGCAGTGGTTTTTCACAGTGGGGAGTTTCGACTTGGTTTCTCAACGTGTCTCAATTACTCCCCTTTTTGGAGTAACTAGTGAAGTGGTGGAATCGAGAGGATGTTGACTTCCATAAAAGATATTAAACATTTGTGATTGAACGGTTTTTTTAAAGAGTGCTGAACCTTGGATATCACGTTTTTATTCGGTGAGTGGTGAAATATTTTGTACATGTTTCGTTGGTATTTGGGGGGAGGTTAGCGTGGAATTCACACGTGTCGACCTCGACTTTTTTTATTTACTCGTGGAATAAGGGTATTTGTTATACTGTTAAGTCATTTTTCGGTGGGTTTTACGGAAGGACTTTTGAGGGGTTAACGGGTTCGTGGAATTTCACGTTTCTGGGGAATTCCTGGAAGCTCCCAATGTCATGGCGGGAACATGAAAATATCGTCATTTGTTTTTATGAAAATTTTTTTGTTAGTGGCGCCACTAAAATTGAAATGATAAAGCGAATATCACCGAATCTATGAGTAATAGCATCATTTTCATAATTACCTTTTTTCTGGAGCTCATTGCACTCTCCAAAAAAGGTTCTGAGAAAAATATTGATATTCTTCACAGATTCTGAGATATTAGATTTCGTCAGATTTTTTACACATGGGGTGAATCATTTTTTATTTATTAACGAATTCCGCTGGCAATAAATTATTGTATCAGTGTAATAGAAAAATCGATAGTTTTGCGATCAAATGGATTCGTCAACCGTGACGGAAGTCGGCCTTGTCGACGAGAAGATACTTATTTTCTACAAATGTCCTATTGACGGTACTAGGCTTTTCACTCCTGTCGCATCGTTACGTCATGTCTTTAAACGTGATCAATAAAATTACTGGTGTCGGAAGGACGAGGTCGTGGATATTTCTTTTTCATTTTGGGTTTTTAACCACCGAGGACTAATTGTGTAATCATTCTGGTGTATCCGAGGCGCATGCCGACAACCCAGGAGTTATTGTATAAAACTTTCACGTTGATGGTTTGTTATTTTTATTTCACGGGAAATACGAATAACAAATTGAGGATTAATTTATGGAATTCTCCAGGTTGATTCTGTGATTAATTAACGGTTAAACAATGGTGGAATTTTTATCAATAATTAATAAATATCTGGGGTCTCATGCTCATTTAGTTTTATTACGAAATAATTGAACTAGTGCTGATCGAATTAGTCCGTTTCAATTGGAAAATTATTGAGAATTTTCTTATTAGAAAATTAATAATTCACTCGAATAATGAATGACTCAATAATTCTCACAGATGTTGAATTCGCTGGAAGCTGAGAAATTTCAGCAGGAAATCCAAATGAATTCATAACTTTCACGCACAAGTTCCCTGATTTGTTATTTTTATTAGGAAAACGAATTGTGGCATAATGAATTCATTTGAGATATCGTGTGAGTGAGAATTGTTTTATAAGACTGGTTCATGAGTTTTCATGACAATTAATCACAGGATGTTTCACTGTTATGAAATTTTTTTGTGGATTGAAACATTATGCAAATCAGGGAAATGTGGATAATTAATCGGTCAGTATTTCGAAAGTTTCCGACCAATTGCCGAACCGACAGATTAAGTCATTTGCGTTTCAAAGTGCGTATGAATTCTTTGGATGAGAATTACCGTCTCGCTGAATTGAGAAATTTGATATTTTCCATTTGAAAATGTCTCCTTCGAATTTCGAGGATAAAATATTGAAGTACATTGGCTTGAAATCCCACTCCTGACACCAATTGAAGTGCACGTGGGTATGAAAATAAATGAGCTTCATTAAATTGAAATGAGGCGATAGAAATTAATACATGTAGACTTGTCAAAATAAGAGAAAATAGGGGATCAACGATATAGTGTGTACCAGGAGAAATTGGACATTCACAAATTAATTTTTTTTTCGAGAATTTAAAGCAAGCCTTTATCCTAAATTTTCGGGATCAAAAATTTAATGACAATAAACATCGAATTTGGTTAGGAGTCTTTTGAAAAAAGGGGCATAAATTTTAATTTCTTTTTTAATATCCGAAAAATCTTGACCCCATCCCACAGTTTATTTACTCTTTGGTGTGGAAATTGAAGACTAGAACGAATGGATGGCTCTATTGATCAACAAACATCTATTGACTGAATGAGTGGGGGTTTGTGTTTGGAATGATACAGCGGTTATGTCGAGAGTGAGATGTGAGAAATTAAAGAGACCGGTGATGGTGAGGTAGCACTCCGGGTTACTGACTGTATTTCAGGGCAAAAACACGACAACTCGAGCGTAAATCCAGGATGTGGATGACGTTGAGGGGACGACGGAGTCATCCAAGGTACTCGTCCTCAACTCCCACGATCATTTTTCCCTTTTTTTACGTTTCGAGTTATCCCACTACTCTGAATCGAGATAAGAATACATGCGTCTGTAGGGCTCACTTATTCGGTTCGAAGAATAATTTGTTCTTTAATTTAACCTGACGCCGCAGGAAAATCAAGTAGAACACCTGGCCGGATAAAAATTCCACCCTTTTCCGGTGAAGATTAAATTTCTGTGGAATTTCTTACAAAAAATTGAAATAAATAATTAATAGAATATTCAAGGAATTCATTAGTCATTTTTCATCGGTGAAAATTGATAGAGTCAAGTGAATTTTCGGGAGAATAATTCTTTTTTCTCAATAAAATTGTTGAATCCTTGATTTTCTTGGGTGTAAAGTCCCCGTATTAGAATCGAAACCTCGCACATTCACGCGGAGAGTTTCTCAGAGTCATTCGAAATCAAAGGAGGCTAATAGGCAAGGGAGCCAACTGCTATTCGTAATTTCACCTACGCGTTTAGATTTTAGAAAAATATATGAGGATGAGTTTTGAGGTGATGTCAGTGAGAATGAGGTGCGCGATGGTTTATGGGCACATCCAATTGGGTATGAGAACCGGTAGTCGACATTACAGACTGGATATGGTCGAGGTACTCTTGGACAACTGTAGTAACCACTGACAGGGGACAATTGTCACACGAAACCGCTTGTTATCTCCTTCAAACATTTCTTCTACCGAAAACTCTGTCCATTTCCTTATCACCCACTTTAAATCTCGAGTGAAAGAACCCACACGGAGGAAAATGGTTCTCATGCTTGAAAAGAAATTTCTCGATAAACAAAAATGTTTCTTTACATTTTTCCAAAACGGATTTTTGACTCAGAAAAATAGGACAATGATTATGATGGTTTTTTGGGTGATAAAAATGAATGATTATTTTTCGGAGATCGGGGGAATTCACTTTCCACTCCTTTTATTTCGTGATATCCATCAAAATTTAAAGATTATAATTAACGTGAAAAAAGAATTCGCGGAAATATCATGTATTTTTTACGTAAATAGTAGTGTGTGATTAGTTCTACATGGTGGAACCCTTAATTTCTAAATCCATGACCCAAAGCCACAGAAAAAGAAACACTTTCATTGTCGAGCCTAAGTGGGAAAGTAGAAATTACCCGGTGATTCAAGAAAAAGGAGAAAAATTAACCAGAATAATGAATTTTTTCTGCACTCATTTAGACGCGTGGGAGGAAGAGCACTCGAGTATGTAATTACAAATCGCATCCGCTTCATCATAAGTGTTTGTATGGATTTTGTAGAGAATAGGATTTTGAGATGAGTACATTAGCGTGGGGCTGTGTAATTAATCCGAGTCGCGATAATGATCACGTGTTTGCCAACAAAATGCGGGACAATTATTTAAAAAATACACGGAGTAAAAATGCGCAGAAATTATCCAAAAACAGAATTAAAAATGAAAAAAAAAATACGGAGTGAATTTTGGGGGATTTTCTTTTCGTTGAATGGGAAATTCCACCAGTCGGTCGTAATTAAGGGGTTGGGCATGACGTGCCAATTTAGTGGATTTGAAAGTTTTTTAATTAAAAATGAGCAGCTGAAAAACTGACTCATGAAGAAATTCAAGGTGGAGGGGTTTTGTAGATTGAAAGAAGGCGAAAACGACTCCAAATAGTTTTTACACACAACACACGTACTAGCGCAAGTTGTAACACACATACAGGATTTCACCGAGATGAATCACGTATTTCATTATATGCCTAACGTCGCTTGTTACCGAGCCAATGTGATACGAGTTGTTCGGCAATCTTGATGCTGAATCTTGCGCAAAAGTGGAGCAAATTTGTATCCACCACTTTGGGCATCACGAAAAAATTCGCGAATGGGAATCTAATAATCTCAAAATACTAGACGACAGATTATTACTGTCAGGATTTTATTTATTTTTATTCAATATTAACCGTTACATTTTCAATGTCGCTTCTCGATTCAATGGACATCGTTAAACTCGTTATGGAAATAATCTCTCATTATTTTGAACAATTATTAACGGCTAATGATTTTTTTCCACGTAGAACGAAAAATGAAAATTTTATTAGTTAAAATACGAAAAACTCTCGGAAATAAGTGAAATTTGAAAAAAAAAGAGCACGTGTGTAATTTTCCAAAAAGAATGTAAATACGCCCAACTTTTACCAAAACCATCGTTAAACATTTCCCCAATCTCCGGTTAATCAACACACCTGGTGCTCATACACCGATAAATGAAGGTAAACTACCCAATGGTGTAAGTCACACTGCGAAAGCAAAAGAGAAATAAGAAGCCGGCACAATTAACCCACCTGTGCATTAATGATAATTTTCGTTACCCATTTCGTCATTAACCGTTGGAAAACAATCATTGTCGTACCGCACTTTCTACACGTATTTACTTTCATTCTTTTCCTGAGTAATCTTTCATCTCCCGATGCATCCTCCTTATAAGTCACCAACTTGCTTTTTTTTATAAGCCTCCAATCTCTTCAACTTGAAAAAAGCGAGAGTGAGCACGCACTCTCCGCGGAAAAAACCGTCAGAGACCTGCCGTCTAATCAGAGTCTAATTTATCTGTTTACTATAATTCTAATCCCCCCCATCAATTATTCATAAGAGATTTTCAAAAATTATAAAAATACCAAAACTCAAGGGGGAAAAAAAATCGACGAGTTTCACATCGATCGGATGTAGTCGAATGCATCACCTGGCAATATTAAATATTTACCGTGTAATTAATCCCCGGCGGGTGCACGAGAGAGGCATCTGAATATCGAACTTCATTACATCGGGCCCCCGGGGAGG